CTCTTATTGATTGTGCTTGGCTGTACATGTACATATCCTTCAAGATGTATCATGGGGGTGTTGCAACCTAGAAGACACAAATTTGACTAACAAGTTATAATTAAACAGATCCTTGACAGCAGACTTGCCCAGTGCAAATACATCGTTGACTGCTGCTTCCATGGGTGTTCATTATGGATCCAAGTAAAATGAAATCACTGACATCTTTAATCTTTTCTCCATTTATCATGATGTTGATTATTAGCCTAGTTGTGGTAAATATTTTGTTTTATGTAGAAATGTATATGTATATTGCTAAATTCTTATTTTCTCAGTAAATGCCACTTGTGTGGAAAATAAGAAAACACTGCAAGACAGAGTTAAGTAACAGATCTTAAGTACAGTAGGTGTCCTTCTGAGAAAGACAAGTATGGATCAGAAAATTGAGATGGCTTGATAATTAACAAATCATTCCTTTTTTAATTTTCTTAAATATTTTTTATTATTGATTTTAATAGACATTTACTGAGGTTTTGGATTTCCATTCATTCATTGCCGCACTTTTCTCCCTGCCCACCCCTCCCCATGATAATCAACAAATCATTTCTAAAGAATGAATTGTGCTCAGTTAAGTTGCAAAGAGTGAGTTAACTTTCTAGAGGGATCAACATAAGCAGAGGTACAAGTTTAAAAGACATCTAATGTGAGTAGAAGACAGAAACCTGGCCTGCCTGTTACTGTGTTCGATGCCATCTGGTCATACAGCAATCCTACACACTTTCTTCTGTGCAGAGCAGCTGTTGGATTCAAACCGTATGTTTTTGGATTGGCAAGTCAACTCTTTACGACCAAGCTACCAGAGCTTCCTTGAGTCCTATTAACAGGTCTTTCTTTTAAATGTATGACATTGTCTAATCCCTGACAGTGTTGTACATTGGCATAGATCTGAAACTTTTCTTTTTTATATGAATGTGAAGCCATTCCTTTTCAATTTTTCCTTCCAGACACAGTAGAGATCATCATGAATGTCAATGAAAACTGCCAATATCAGTTAATTTCAACTGACTAACAACTCACATATATATTTTCATGTGTTTCATTTCATTTTGATGACTTCAAATTTTCAGATTTATATTTCATATACTTCATGTTCTAATTATTAATATGGCTGCATCTATTTTTCCCCCATTTTGAATAAGACAGTATTAGCAAATGAAGGTCACAAGAGCTTTATTCAATTGGTGTCTTCACAGTATACTCTACTTTGAAGAGGCAGTTATTTCCCAGTTGTATTTTGAGTGCTATCCAAGCTGAAGGACTCATCAAAACTATACCAGGCAACAATTTGCTACTATTCAAGAGATTTTTATTGGCCTCTTTTAGAAGTAGATCATCAGGAAGTTTAGCATGGAAATTGTGCTGAAATTGTTAATATTGTTTGGCCCTGCTAGCACCCCTTCCAAGCTGAGCCACCTCAACCCTCTCTAGATTTGACACGGTCATAGTCATTCTGCCACGTAATAATAATCAATACTTTTCAAGCACAGTACAGGTCGCCACATACACAAAAGATCTACTGACTATAATAGTCCCAAGAATATATATATGTTGTTGTTATATGCCATCGAGTCACCTGCAACTCATAGAGACCTTATGTACAACAGCCCTAA